CCAAAGGCGTCAGGTATATTCCACAACATGAATCGAGTTAGTTACGCGAGACTTAATGCAAACCTGTGGGCTCCCAATGTACAGCCACCCACCACCAGTAGTCAAAGCTGAGCGAGCGTTTAACAAACTTAAGTAAAATGAGATCAAGGTAACGTCAGTAGATGTAATGTTGAAAGTGTAACGTAAAATGAGTGAGCACGTGGTCTTCCCTTAGTTATATACTCCGCCCATGAATAGCATATTGCCGCTGTACCGTTTTAATGGAATCGGCTTAGTAGAATAACTTCTTCCCATTAAAGCATCGAAGTGATTCATCCTTCACTCCAATGTTTGGTGGATGTGCGTCTCTCGAACTAATCCAAACCAGATACAAATTGAATGCAACATTCAGAAACACCTCGGGTAGTGCATCAAAGAAGGATCACGCCAGCGGAACTAATGGAAATTCATCACTACCAAGTAGTTGAGGAATATAAGACTGCAAAGTCAAGTCTAATTTGTATTCATAACAGGATTCTGGGTGTGGCACTGGGAAGTGGATAAAATGCACAGAAATGAACGGTTTTCGGTGTCGGCAAAAGAGTGGTCATTTTGGATGGGCGGAAGGAAATGTACATAGGGAGTTAGGCCACATAACCGGATTAGACTTTCATAAACTTCTTTTCATCAATTCTTCGCGAACAGATGCGAGCTGCGTACGTAACTGTGTGGATTCCACGCCCGCGTTTGCTATCTCCTGCCGAAGAGAGTTGATCTGTAAGAGAAATGGTTGTTTATCATTATGGGATGACTCGACAAACGAAACAAACGCATATCAATCCACCAGTTTATCACGAGACAAAACCATATGGCATTGAACTAGAGCCCAATGACGTCTGTTATAATGAGTTGAGGAGGTCCAAGGAAAATACTAAAAGTCAAGAACGCAAATTGTGGGAGGTATTTTCATGCCTGATATGAACCATCGAGAGTAAGAGTTTTCAAACAAACTGAGAAAACAAACAAGTGTCATTTCTTGCCCGTCCTCTCCGAATGTTGGTGTTCCGAAGGACCCTATACTTGCTATCATTCTTCTAGCTATTTTCTAGTAATCGTATTCAAGTCATTTAGTACCACTTACCGTCACTCCGTTGTTCCCAACCCACCAGACCACTACTCACACCAACCGTGGTCGTGTGATCATTAGTGTATTGTGCTTCCGATCTTGCACTAGGAGTGGAGTACCATCAACCATGTTGATTTCTATCGTTTTAAAACTTTTGCACTTTCAGTCAACTATCCCACACCACTACTCACAAGTAACTGTGAGTCAAATGCGACTTTCAGTCTCATCGAATGAGTAACTCTCTGTTCTTGGTCCGGTTGTTGTTAGATCATCCTGCTGATCAATGAACTGATTAAACTCAAAACTACAGTAGTTTTATCATACCGATTCAGACCCTTTCGAGGTTTACTTAGTTTTCTGCAAAGCACTTTGCAGACAAAAACACGTGACTCGTGTCCGGCGTGAAATCTGTTCACATTATTCTTATAGCATCCGTCAACATATACCAGTAGCCTAATCATCAACGACGATGCGGCGATATCAGTTTGTTCCTGAAGGATGGAGTGTACGTCGAAAATGTCCGGCTGGTTCTTTTGTATGGTCCAAAGATTTGGCCGAAAACAGAGAAGAATGGGGACAGATTACTAGAGTTCAGACCTTGCTCTTTACGTCACAGTCCTCGAGTCTGGCAAGGTGCCTTCACAAACAACTCCAATGAGAGAGGAAAATGTTTGGGTTATCGTGGACCGACTGGAGTAAGTGGTCCGTAAATTAGGATGACTATAGTGTACAGATGCAGCGAAATGATCCAGGATACATTGTGCAAACCTGTGTTTTTGGCTTCTTTACTCAATTTCGTTACGGGGAAACTATTCTTCCAGTGACTATAGTGTATTACTGGTGTCCTTAAACAGACTTTTTGGATGTTTGTCGAAGTGGGCGAAAAATGGAAGACCAATAGTGGTCAAACTAATACTCGGTGTGGTGTGAAAACCCGGAGCATATGATTCGATTATGTAGTTCACAGCAGACGTTTCCGATCGATCGAATGGATGGTTGAATCACATGCATTTACGTAATTTCTTCGCCTTACTAGTCTCCATTCCGGTTTAGTTCCCGATTTTTAATTCTTTAGTGAACTCTATCCCAATGGCCGGCCAAAAACCACCAACACACAAGCAGGCCGAGTGTAGTGTATGGTTTGAATTATTGTCTCAATCGTCAAGCTATACTAAAATCTTTGTTTTCAGTGCTCATCAGTATATGCTCGTTTATGAAAACAAGTGGTTCGCGATTTGCACTTTTATAACTCGTAAACCTACATTCACTAAATGGCTTTCCTGTCTAAAGTTTATTCACTCATGATGTTCTAGACACTTCTCTGAAGGGTTGAAAAGTGGAATGTAAAGAAAAAAATTGATGGCTACTTCGAACCAAATTTTCGCACACGTGTTAGCGATAAAACAATGGTGTGGAGCAGTAATGCCTGAGCGGTACCATTAAATTGAGGTGAAGAGTAGTCGAACGGTCAAGACAATAAAAGTATATTAATATAAAAATTAACAGGACATACTTCATCTGTCAAAGCATTTTCACGGGAATTGGAACAGTTGATACACTTCTCCAGATCCTGCAGCTGCTTACGAAGCTCTGCACACGAATTGCATTCCTAAGGTGCAAAACAAGAGGTTACATCAGTACTTATTACAGTGTAGATGATAGTCACACATCGACACCAACCTCAAAATATTAATTGGTATAGCTGCCGTATTTCCAATGCGAGCATTTACTTCTAAATAAATTTCAGTAGTCCGAGCAGACAAATGAACTAAACTAGTTAGAGCAATGTTCAACTAAACCGGTGTTTAGTCAATCGCAACAATTCTGCTCACTATGAGAAACACATTGAATCTCTTTAACCCAGACTCTTTTGCAAACGGTTCTGGAATGTCGTATACTTCAGGTACTTTCTCTCGTGGAAATCAGATTCAAGCTTCGAAGACAAGTCTGCCAGAGTTGATTGTCGTAAAGAATACCGTCATCATACTATTTATTTCTATTTTGTATCCTTATTACCCATTTTCCGTCTTTGGATTCAATTGTTGTTACCCTGACGTGTTTTTCCCCAAAGTCACTTATTCAATGCTTTTGACACGCGATCTGATTGACTGACTCATGCAATATAGCTCTGTGGTGGTAAAATTCAATCAGGTCTATCTGACTTCTCTTTCTCGGTCGAGCAGATAAGTGAACCAAGAGAACAGCCGAAAAGAAGGCATAAAGTTGCAGAGCCAATGGCCGTATGCCGTTGTTTTAGTAGCCTAAACTAGACAGATTAGTATCCATGATCATCAGCGAGGGGCACAGCACGATCAACAGGAAGCGTAAAATATGAACTGAACCGCCGTTCACACAAATAGCCGGCACAGGGGGCGACTCACAGGTAGGTGTCTATCATGGTAAACGGCTATTGCTCGAACGGGTCTACATGACACTTGCAAAGAAACCTCCGCATACGATTCTGAATAGTCAATTCCAATTTCATGGTAATTTAAAGGAAAATAGACTATCCACGAATAAACAAACAAGCGTTCGACCTGATTCATCAAATCCCACTTTATATAATCGTAAAGTGAGTGACAAAACATGTACCTACCTGGTGATTAGCGGTGTTGTTTTTGGCAGCACCACCCGCACTACGTCGAGTTCGTTTTGCAGGCGGGGAGCTGGCTGGAGGTAGAGCATCCATATCGGCCTTGCGCTGATCAGATTTTGCTTCGATCAGCTGAGTTCTGGTAGAAGATAGAGAAGTCTCCAATTCGTTCACCTGAGATGTCAAGTGCTGGACCTGAAGATAGTCAACCATAATGAAGCGCACTTAATTCAAATCGAAAAAATAACTAGCGACACTTAAGCTTCATGTTTTTTCAAGTTCCTGTCATTGAATGGACATTAACTTTATGAAGTGTCACCTTTAGAAAAAAACGGTATCGACGGTGGAATCACAGATAACATTCTGAAGGTGGTTGACATCTTAGTTGTCAGTCAGATCAGTAACTGGCCTGTTTCATCGGAATCTCGCCCAATTCATGTTGCATCAGGACAGTATGTCTGTTGACTGAGATTCGCTACATTCGTTACATACAAACACAAAGACACAAAAAAAATAAGATAATGAATGCGAGAGCATGTACGCCCACGTTGTTCCGACTTCGAGCTCCAACAAGGAGCTAGGGAATATTATCAACTGTTCTATGTTCCTGTCAAGTCGTGAATCGATCATTGAGAAGCTTCTATCAGCTATGCAAAGAGACAATGAACGGCATCTGTTATGGAGAGCGAAAAAAATGCATGTGTATCACATTTATAAAGTTTCAAGTGATGCAGCTTAATCGCCCTCTAAAAGCAGAACTGCGTGCAGCCGGGCGTGCCCGTGAACCCCAGGAGGACCGACAGTTACCAATCTGGTGACCGACTTTAAATAAGGTCGGCATGCGTTCAATTAATAAGCGATAGTGGGTGATCAGTAAAAATGATCGAGGATTAACAGTTTCCTTCATAAAACACCGCATAAATCCCTACCAGAATTAAAGCTTGAAGTAAAGTTCATTAAAAACTATCCTTCTCAAAACATCAGCACAAATACATGACGGCAACGCCCGTAAGGTTTACCGACAGTAAGCCCAACCGAATTGACATCGTCATTGTACAGCGAAAAACAGTAAAGTGAACTTCACTGGTCGCTGCCAAACTAGCATTACACACAAGATTTGTGATAAAATTTAAGGTGAACAGGGATTGGACCTCATTTGAGAGAGGGAGAAGGTGAATCACTATGGTCAACAGACCGAGTGCACAATCGAACTCTGCACACATACCATTTTAAGCGTTCTTATCAAACCAGAACGCTTGAAATGGTAATGTATGCAGAGTGCTTGGTGCCCCTGAACAATCGAATGGGCTAATCCAAGCTGAATACTCTAAATTCACTGAGCCACTCGCACAAGATGATGACCAACGGCCGTGTATCTCAGGAGTAGGGGGTTGAAGTCCCGACCCGAAGACTGCGGTTGGAGTCCTGACAGGGACCATAAAGTACGCACTGTTGACGAGTCTCAAACTGGACGAAACAGCTGTCCAGTGCTCTTTGTCGGTGATCACAAACATTTCCGTTGCATTTGAATGCATAAACTGAACTGAAATTGTTGCTATTGTCATGGCAGTAATCATTCTGAGACTGAAGGTGAAAAAAATGCAAGACGGTGGGAGGTCTTCACGCTTTATTGGGGCGCTACCGCCTGCCCAAGCTGGATAGCCCTAGCCGGTTCCGTCCTGTCCACATTCCGCTCATTGGGTGCGTGAAACTGAGGGCCAAGCTGGAACAGCGGACTGACAATTAACGTACTAGAAACCAATGAAGTGAACCGAAACCAAGCCTAGCCTGACAGGTTTCTGGAATTTCCCACACGGGTGCTTAGGTCACGTTTCCGCGTCGGATCATTACGGGAATAGGATACAGATAGACTGTCGGTGCTCAAACACCGCTGTTTACTCGTGCAATGCTGCGTACAGCAGGTGAGGAATTGGACGAGGAATGCTGATGCTAGACGCAGAGTTTTAGGCAATCGCGGTCATCCAATGGAGCAAGTGGTCGACCTCTATACATAGCGCTGGTTGGTACATGCGCCACGGCGTGAGGGCAAGTAATAAGTGGAAAAAAGTCAAGGGCGGTCAAACTAAGACCTGCCAATTTGAAAGCGGTGACATAAAGCAGCCTACTGAAATCTAATAACGATTGGAAGTGAACTGTGTAAGACGCAGGAAGAATAAATATGATACCGATCCGGAAGGCAGCGATGCCATCTACTAGTTGTAATTCTGATGGGTTTACACCAGTGAACGAAATGTAAAAATGGACTTTTTATTAGGTTGTTTGTTATTTCCGTTTATCTTTAAACTAACAATAATGGATGTTTTGGATAAACAGGACTCNATATAAATGCAAAACCGGTGATCTACCGACAATACAACAGGTGGACTCACCCTAGCATTGGCCGTCTCCACCACTCGTCTTTCGCGCATAACATCGTCAGACAATTGAGCAGCACGTTCTGTCACACTGGTCAATTTGCATTCCAGCTAGAAATCATAAGAGATGATTTCGGTAAGAGTGCCAACGAATATATGCGGAATACAAACGAAAATTTCATCCCTCACCCCTCGAAACGCGAAAACACTCACTTGACTTTTATGTTCTTCTGCTAATTCGCGGGCCTCAATAGATTCGCGCAACAATTTCGCATATCTTTGCTCACTGTCAGTCAGTTTGTTCTCCAGCTGCAAGATAGAGGGTAGTTGATAATGTTTAGCACGGGTGACTGTTGCATTTGTCGAGAGACGAATCGCGATTAGGAAACAACTGTCACAAAATACACGACCAGCAACTCACCTCAGACACTTTATTTGCATCATCCACGGTCTTTTCAGAGCCGACATCCGCAGACCCAAGCTGGCTGCCGCAACGCGAACACAGGTCATTTGATGGTAATCCGTTTACAACGATATCGTCTGTAACAAAAGAGGAATTGCGCTTAAAATCCCCGAAATTCAAGGAGCTCGATAAAAATATACTCAAGATTTAAAAAAATCATGACGAATATACGCCAAAAGGAAGGTGACCGGATCGTTCTCATTTGATAAGTGTGGGTACGTATGGACTTAAAGAGCAATAGTGGTGATAACAGCTGATGTTTGCTATCATCGCTTCGGAACGTCGTCGAATGATTTGCTCAAACAACCAGTCCTGTTCGCCAAAATGATATATATATATATATATATATATATATATATATATATATATATATATATATATATATATATATATATAT